ATGTTCACATGAGAGTCCTTGTTTCCTGCCACTTCTTTTGACTAACCCAATGGCTTCACACTCAACAGATAATGTTGACAAATTGGGTTGACATTTTTGCTGCTATGAGCCAGTTGACTTCACTGTAGAGACGAACTGAGGAAGCGGTAAAATCGATTTGAAAAAACCTTTGCTATAAAAATGAAGAAAAATAAACAAAATACCTACTTCCTTCCATTCATGACCGAATGAAGCCTCTACATGCTTCAATCTTCAATCTATGGTTGAATGACAACCCATATGTTGAAATCAATCTACTAAAGAAAAAAAAATCAATACAAAGTTGAAACAATAAAGGTTCGTTATTCACAACTTCTAAACAATCATCATGGCTCTCATTTAACAAAGCCTTTCGTTTAGATCTGTCCATGAATCTATGTATTCTTCCCTGATTTATCATATCAGAAAGAAGGAACACTTCGATCTTTGTATGTTATAAAAGGGAATAAAAAGAACCGACTTCTCTGCTGCAACTAACCTCATGTTCAACAGCCGAGTTTTCTGCTGCAACTAACCTGATGTTCAACAGCCTCACTAATATGCAGAGCTAGCTGAACCACCGTAGCGCCACCCTAACATGCACCGATCATCAAGTCATCAACAGACCCATTAACTTGTGCGTTGCAATTATTACCATCATATAATCAGGTAACTGGTCGAATTATGGAGCATAAGCCCCTCGATTCCTACCTTCCCTGCATGAATTGTGCTCTGAATATAAGAATGATAAATACATGACCGACCAGACAACACTCTTCAAGTTTAAAATTGATATTAATCGAACATTAGATCGAACACCTGGCGTGCCAAATGAAATATAGTTTGAAGTAACAAAATCGTACCTTTAATGGATTGGAAGTATCTAGAAGGCGAGAAAACTGCCGACATGAGATTCTATAAGAGGAATTACAACACATACCTAAAGAAGAAACAGAGACCGCCAAGAGCAGACGAAGATAGACGCGGAGGCAAAATAGAAACGCAAAGAAGAGAGAAGAGGAAGGAAAAGTAAAGAAGAAAGGAGAATAAAGAAAACAGAAATGAACCGTATTGGAGGACAATGGCGGCAACCGGCTTTGAGGAAGAGAAGATAACGATGAGAAATTCTATGACGGTTTGTGCGAGAAAAGGCGAAGTAGAAGTTTCAGTGGCAAAATAAGAATGACAAATACTTCCGTGTGCAAATAAGAAAGTGAGAAAAGGTAACGTGCAAATAAGAAAGTGAGAAAAGGTAACTGTAGCTGAGGTTTGAGAATTAATAGTATATACGAACATTTTTTTACATAATTTTTTATGGGTCGATGCAAATTCAATTACATATAAAAAGTAAATAAACTAATATTATTTTTGAAAATAAAAACTTTACTTATAGAACTTCTTAATTGAGAATATCATTAGAAAAACTTCGTCGTAAAAAAATCTTCTAAGTAGGTTTTCAAATTTTAAAGACTTTATCTGAAATTGTTTTTGAAAAAAGCTCAAAACTTTAAAGACTTTATTGTATGTGCACTAGATTGCTACGCGTTCCTGCTGCCACCAATGAAACCATATCATAAATATGATCGACACTGGCATATAAACATAAACTTCAAACAGATCAACCAAAACAAATGGCGACCACAATTGCGGAGCTGGTATTCATCCCTGCACCTGGGGTTGGTCATATCATGTCCACCATCGAGATCGCCAAACTACTTGTGAGTCGAGATCACCACCTCTCTATCACCGTCCTTATAATAAAGCCGCTTCCTAATCCTACCTTCGGTTCTGGCTCAGGTATCACCACATACATAGATTCGTTATCTAAAAGCACCATGGATCGCATATCCTTCATTCAACTCCATCAAGACGAAACCCCACCAGTTATGGACTCCAAAGCTCCTGTGGCTTCCACTCAAGCATTTATCAATAGTCATTGCAAATACGTAAGAGACGTCGTGGCCGATATGATAAATAAACCTGGTTCAGGTCGGGTCGCAGGGTTCGTCGTTGACATGTTTTGCACGGCGATGATAGATGTTGCTAATGAGTTTAATGTTCCCACCTATGTTTTCTTCACTTCTAATACTGGTTTTCTTGGATTTATGTTCTATATCCAGACACTTTGTGATGATCATAAGAAAGACATTCTTGAATTAAGCAGCAGCTCAGATGCCATGATATCAATTCCGAGTTTTGTCAAACTGGTGCCCACGAAGGTCTTTCCAGCCACGATCCAGAGTAGAGAAGGGCTGGAGATTTTTCTGTTCTGTGCTCGGAAACTTAGAGAGGCGAAAGCCATCATGGTCAA